AAATTCGCTTTAGTGATAATGTACATTCATCACCATGCTATCGTGTTCAGCGGACTACAACTTAGAAGAGGACTTACTGCAGCACGCTTAACCTATCTCTTCTCTCTTATAGAAAATAATCAGAATAATTTAGCACAATTTCTAAATTAACTAAGAACCAAGCAGTTACTGAACCCCAGATGCCATTAGCCCATAGCAGCAATGATTTTATGGATTTCTTTGGTGATAAAATAAAATTAGGCAGAAAATTCAGAACGGACAGTTAAACTCTACAAACTTGCTGCCTTATAATACCAATCTAGGTCTTGAGAATATTGTAACTATTACAGACAGGCTGGAATCGTTTACCTTACTTCAACAAATGAACTAGTTATTTTAAATTTCCCCTTTATATCAAAGATCTTGGAAAAAGTTGTGGCAAAACAATTAAGTTCCTATTTGCATAGGAATCATATACATGAAAAAAAAATCTGGTTTTAGGCAACATCGTAGTACAGAGACAGTACTAGTGAAAATTTTGTAAATGTAAACGGTGAATCATCTGTCCTCACAAAAGTAAATTATAGTGTTGCACAAGGTTCTGTTTTAGGACCTATATTATTCACATTTTATATGCTACCACTGGGCATCATTATCAGTAAACACGGCATCAACAGGCACTATGCACGCTCTTTTTCGGCATTCCGAGTCAGCCAGCTGTTTCATTTCCGGCGTTCGTATCCAGCACATTGGCTAAGCTGTTTTTCGCTCAGTCGCTTCAAGACTTACACGGACTTACGGTCAACGACGTTGGTCGCATCGTGCCAAATACCAGCAACTAAGAAGGAGAATGGTTTCAAACTATTTGTTTGAAGCTAAATCCACATTTATGAAGGTAAGATCCGGCCGTGTAATCATAGCCCTTACAATGTTTGTGTACTAGCAAATGCTAGTGTAGCGATACTGCTAACGTTCTGTGTCTGAGTGTCAATCACTGCTAAAATTTTCCTACCGTTATTGTCAATTTCAGTTTCAAACAAGGATTCAAAGACAGGAGAGATAAACATTAGTTATAGATCAAAGAGCGTAAGGGAAAGTTATCCTGCACGTTCAGTGCAGGCTAGTTCGTGAGACAGGGTCCTGTGTTTCTGTGAATCATATCAATGCAGAGAATCCAATACTGCTAAAGGTTACTTTAGTTCGTATTTCATATGATATTCTATGAATAATACTAGTGTGTAAAAATCTGTAAAACAATAGGATTCACAGAAACTAGATTGGGTTGTCACTTCTTTCCCACTGTATTATGTTGTGCTCCTTTTATTTTAAATGAGTGAAGTGAGATTAATAATGATTTGGCAACAATTTTAGCCTTTATACATTTAGTGCATCTGAACTGTTTCATATTTCTTTTTTTCAGATCTTCTCACTGTACTCAGGTGTTCTCCTTTAAAATAAAAGCTGTTTGAACTATAACTGAGCTAACAGAACTAACTGAACTAGGGAAAGTTATCCTGCGGCATCAGTGCAGACTCGTTCGTGAGACAGGTTCTTATTCGTCAAATCAAGTTTCTGTGAATCATATTAATGCTGTGAATCTAATTCTGCTAACCCTGTAATCATTCTCTTTTATAATAAAAGTTCACTCATTTATTGTTTAGAAATAACATTTTATTGTTTAACTGCACTTGCAGCACTTACAGTATGTATTGTAACAGATTTGTGTATTTTTACAGATTGTGTTTCCCATCCTGTGCAGCTACAAAGCTGCCAGTGTTCCTGTGTGGCAGCTTTGTGCAACCATGTGGCAGCACTTTTGTACTAGACTGCACATTATTCTGACCTGAAGCCCACCTGTGTGCCCCCAAAACTGACCTTTCCTTTTTTTTATTGTTATCTCTATGCTTCCCTCGATAAATAGATTGAGATAGAACGTCTTGAAAGTAAGTTTAATAATTGTAAAAACTTCCATTTACTGTTTATTGTAAATAGTAGTAATTAAAATATTTTATAATTTCATTCCTTTATTAGAGCTCAGTAAGTTACAGCTGTTACATCAATGAAATGTTCCTGTTAGGCATTGCATTTCATAATTGTAAACATGCCTTGAGTTTTCATAATTTCAAAGTGGTATCCATATACAATTTCAATTTGTTTTATTATTATTATTTACTATTATTGTTGTACAAATGTCATTCGTAATGTATGTAACAATTTTATATAGGAAATGATTAACAGTGTAATAAAGATACATGACTAGCATTGGAGTGGTTTTGTTGTCTTGTGTAAACTATGGTGGCTGTTAGAGGAATGTGGGGGAGCAGGACTGACAGGTAGGTGGAGTAATAGTTAAATTGAATTTACTACAATAAATCAGTTTTCAATAATGAACAATATAAAACAGATTTAATGTAAGCATATACAGATAATTGCTATTTACAAGATTTAGATTTTGTCTTCAAGACAATATACATCCTCTGATTGGCTTTTTTGGGGTTGGAGGTGGTGGTGGGCTAACACTTCTTCCATGTTCAAAAGAGCCCAGCAGAGGATGTCACTTTGGATAACATCAGCTGACTAAATGTAAATGCAATACATCACAGGTTCCCAACCCTGGCCCTTCAGGACCTCTGCCCTACAATTTTTTACAAACGCAGGTATGGGGACTAACTGTAAAGTTCTCCCTCCGGATAGTGACAATCCATTTTCTCCTGGTTTCCGCATCGAAGTACTTACTGGAGGCTTGACACAAAGGCATACAACAATGTTCAGCTGTAGCACGGTCGGTTCGTTAACACTTAAAACTTCTTTTCCTGGGATATTATCGCCACTTAACTAAAATCACAGCAACAGTACGAATAGCAGAAATGTTGTAGCTGGCTGAGATTTTCCCGGAAATTACGTCAGCGCTCTGCGTGCATATAGCCTATTTCCACTGCTGTGTCGATGACACACAGTTATATATATCAAGCAAATCAGATGATAAAATTAATCTTAGCAAAATTGAGGACTGTATAAAGGCATAAAAGACTAGATGTTGAGTAACTTTCTTCTATTTAACTCAGACAATACAGAAGTTTTGCTTCTTGGTCAAAAACCTGCTAGAAACAAACTGTCTAATTTAACACTTAAACTTAATAGTTTTTCAGTTGTGTCAGGTTCATCTGTAAAAAAAATCACGATAGATCCCGATCTGTCCTTCGACGCACATATAACGAATATTGCTAGAATAGCATTCCTGCATCTCCTCAATATTGCTAAATTAAGAAATGCATTGTGTCCACAGGATGCAGAAAAGCTAGTTCATGCATTTATCACTTCAAGGCTAGATTACTGTAATGCCTTGCAGTCTGGATGTTCCAGCAAAAGCCTTAACAAGCTTCAGCTAGTCCAGAACGCTGCAGACAGAGTTCTCACAAGGACCAGAAAGTTTGACCATATCAGCCCAGTTTTATCTAACCTACACTGGTTGCCACTTAAATTTCACATTGATTACAACATTCTTTTACTGACCTATAAAGCTCTAAACGGACTCGCCCCTCAGTATCTGAGTGAACTTCTCTCATACTACGAACCATCACGCCTATTTAGACCACAAGGTGCTGGCTTACTATTAGCACCTAGAATTAATAAAGTGACATCGGAGGGAGAGCCTTCTCATACAAAGCCCCCCAACTTTGGAATAATCTTCCAGTCAGTGTTTGGGACTCGCAGCCCTCCAATGTATTTCAGTTAAGACGCTGTGTTAGCTCTGTCAGACTAGAAATGTGCCTGTATGCAGTGAACAGATGCATCACTGAGCGTTGAAAAAGTTAAAACCATTTCAACTTTTGCTGCAACGCATCCTGACGTGGAAGCACACCAACCAATAGAAATGTGCACCCAGCAAACACACAACGTTGTCTACTTTCTTACAACGTTATTACAGCGTTGTCAAAAGGTGGTGCTGTTTATGTTGTCTGAACAAGGTTGTCACAACGTTGTCACAACCTCATTATTCAGTAAGGTTGTCAGATGGTATTATAACTACCTTTTGGCAAAATTCCATGGAGTTCCATTCACAACGTAAGCCCAATTAGGACAGGATCAAATTTACATGGGGTCCTGGGGTGATTTCTTCTTTCACATGTGCTCATGTGATTTTATTTCCGTCCGAACTGGCCCTGTCTGTGTTTTTCTTCCCCATCTTCTGAGAAAATTACAGGCCGAATTACCTACAGTTTCTCAGTGAACTCAGCGCTGCTCTGATCATTTTAGCCCCATCTGCGTTTTTACAGGCAGACGTTGCCTTGCGTTGGAGAAAAAGGTCTTAGAGAGCGCGTATCCATCAGAGATCTTCCTATATACTACCCAGATAGCAGAAGTACATTGATTCAATGCTCAATTATGGTTGCATTTTGTTGTTTAACACCGATGATGGAAAAATAACCTACATTCAACATTAAACAGATCTACGTGGTAAATGTCAGTTAACAACGAAATTCTGACACTGAATTAATGAAGGACTGAATTAATAAGGATGATTTATGGTTGAAGTGAGAGGCTTTCTGTGGGAAAGGCGGTGACACTGCAAAAATGCATCTGAAAAGTATATGTAGCATTAATATCATGACGGACTTTTGTTTAAAACGTGTTTAATATCTATGGATTTTTACATTCATAAATGTATAAATTGCTAAAGACTAAAAGTTTAGGAATTCAAAAACTTTTTTTGCCATATGGCAACATAGGAGCTGCAGTCTTACAATGTGAGTAAACCAGTACACTAACGTTAGGACATTGGCCATTTTTGTTGTCCAGGCTTTCAAAATGTTTATTTTATTTAAGATACACAAAATATGGAGAGTGCACAACTTTAAACTGTGTATACTTAACAGCTGTGTTCTGAGGTAAAAAAAACAAAAAAAAAAACAAAACAAAAAAACAAAACAACACACACAAACAACAAAGCGGGGAAGAAAATATTGACTGGCAAAGTAGGTATACAAGGAGCTGGATCAGTCTAACTCCGCCCCCTGGAAGTTCGGCTCTGGGTTATGCACGCGAAAGCGCTCTTTCTGTCCCAGCGTTCCATGTGACCGTTTAAATATAAACACGACCGTTACGAGCTGTTTACGCATTTAAACTAATGTTATGGCTTTTCTTCCTAGTTTATCTGTCGCGTTTGTGTTAAAATCTCGTCAAATGTGTGGATTTCGTTCATTTCTGCGATAGCGGTGTCATGTGCCTACCGACGTCGGAGATTTTCGCCCACGAAAAGGAAGACTTGGCACCGACAAGAACGAACTGCAAGTGGAATGGGGCCTGCTTCACAGGCCAAACTCTACATTTAAAAGGTGAGGAGTAACGAGTAATTTAAGTGCTTAGTTTGACGTGAACTCTGTACACATATCTAGCAACCACTCCAACGTTTCATGACTGTCTACTACAAAGGAGAATATTTGAGCATACAACACAAAATATTCTGAAGGTATACAAGGCAAGTAAAACAAACAAAGACCATTTGGTCTAAAATAAGACTAGGCTACAGTTTAAAGTTTAAACCAGGTTATCACAGGTCCTTGTGCACAGTAAATCTGTAAGGATCCATGTCGATCCACACTGAGTTGAATTTTCCCAAGGCTGAATAGTAAGTTGCTTTGTGGTGAAAGTGTAAGCTATTTATTTTCCTTGTGTGTATTTTGTTTCACAGATAATCTCAACAGAAATCTCCTGCAGAGTGACTGGTGAGACTCAAATTACTGTTTTAACTTCCCTGATGTTCAGTCAAATTGTCATACAGATGTATGAAGACACTGTTCTGGAACCATAGTGCTTTCGGTATGGTATAAGTTTTATATCCCGTTACTTTTTTCTGCATATTGTTATAGCCTTAAAGAGGATGTCCAGATGCAGTGATATGCAAATCATGTAAACTATTTTTAAATGAAAATAAAACAAGGACAACATATCAAATGTTGAAACTTAGAAATTTTATTGTTTTTTGAAAAACATATGCCCATTTTGGATTTGATGCCAACAACACCTTCCGAAAAAGTTGGGATGTTTACCACTGTGTAACTAACTCTCTTTAAGTGTTTGGGAACTGAGGAAACCAACTGCTGTAGTTTTGAAAGTGAAATGATTTCCATTCTTGCTTAACATAGCATTTCGGCTGCTCAACTGTTTGGGGTCTCCTTTTGTTGTATTTTTCATTTAATAATGCGCCAAATGTTATCAGTGGGTGACAGGTCTGGACTGCAGGCAGGTCAGTTTAGCATGCAGACTCTTTTAATATGGAGCAATGCTATTGTAATACATGCAGAATGTGGTCTGTCATTGTCTTTCTGAAATAATCAAGGCCTTCCCTGCAAAATATGTCGTCTGGGTTGCAACATATGAAGGTGGAGAAGGTGGCAGCATTCCTGGAGCCTGTTTATGTATGGTTTCCTCTTTATGGTTTGGAGTTTTAACTTGCATTTGTGGATGCAGTGACTGTGAAAGTGTTTCATAGACAGTGGTTTTCAGAAGTGTTTCTGGGCCCATGCAGTGATTTCAACTACAGAGTCATGTCTGTTTTTAATGCAGTGTCGTCTGAGGGCCCAAAGATCATAGCCGGCAAATATTGGTTTTTGACCTTGTCCCTTGCATACAGAGATTTCTCCAGATTCCCTGAATCTTTTAATGTTATTATGTACCATAGATGATAAAGTTTTTTGCTATTTTATGTTGAGAAACATTATTCTTTAATTGTTGCACTATTTGATTGTGCAGTCTTTCACAGAGTGGTGAACCTCTCCTCATCTTTACTTCCGAAAGACTCAGCCACTCTGAGATGCACTTTTTATACCCAATCATGTTACTAACCTGTTGCCAATTAACCACCAGGAGTTTTCTTTTTTAGGATTACACATCTTTACCAGTCACTGTTAATTTGTGTGGAACGTGTTGTTGGCAAAAAATTCAAAATGGGCATGTATTTTTCAAAAAACAATAACATTTCTCATTTTAAACATTTGATATGTTGTCTTTGTACTATTTTCAAATAAATGTGTTTAAATGATTTGCACACCATTGCATTTTGTTTTCATTTACATTTTGCACACCATCCCAACTTTTTTGGAACTGAGGTTGTATTTTAAAAACCTCTGTATATTTTAATCCTTGTGACATATAAACAAAGTCATTCAGATTGATCTAATGTTAAATGCTCTGTTCTAGACAAACTTATTGATTCAAGTGTATTCACGGTGGTGGTGATAGAAACCAGGGGTCACAAGGTCTACCACACAAATATAGCCATTTTATTCACTATCCAAAACCACTAGTGAATCTACATGTGTCTTCTAAGGTTAATGATGTATGAGTATTTATTGTAATTTTTTGTAATGTTGATTGTAAAGTAGTGGTAAGTTTCAGAGAATACTGAGGACTTGTTCCTAGTAATTGACAATTTAAAAAGTAAACTTAAAAGTTAATCTTTTTAAGTTTATTGTTTTAGATCTCTCAAAGATATAGTAGGGCATATCGCTAATGCGGTTTTAAATTTCGATAATAAGCCCTTTCAGTTTCAGTTCAACTTTATTCCATTTTGTTTATATGTTTGTTTTTTTTTATTGTGCTACACAGAAACACCATGGAATATCAATAGAAACACTTACCACATGCAGTAGATACCTGCCTACTATTACAGTAAGTTCTACAACATTTAACAGTGGTTAATATTTGAACACTGAACAACACAGAAATAAATATGGAAGCTTATCAGTAGCAAAATTCCTGTATTCCTGGGCTTACATATTTTGAGCTTCTAACAAAAATTCCTATCAGTTTTACCAATTTACTTTCTCATTTGGTGTACTAGTATTAACATTTCATTTACACTGAGATTTAGTAGCTTTAGATAAATTAAATTGTATTTTCTTAAATCATTAGTAAAGCTTAGCATGATTAAACAATAATGGTGTCAAAATGCTAATCTTCTAATTTACATAGTGAGCATTAGATGTGGGCAAATTCACACAACATAAAAGTTCTGCTTTCCATTTTAAAAATTAATATTACAAGAACTGCTGGGATACATGTAACATAGTGAGCTAGTTCATGTTTGCCAGCTGGTATAAACAGCTGATGGAGGAAATTGTTTGGAAATGTAATGTTAGTTAGCATTAACGATAACTTTTAGCTAGCTTAATTCTGAAGCCCTCCTCAGTTCATGTAACATATTAGCAGATGAGGTGATGTCAGAACAGTATATCCACATCTTATGCTCACTTTGTAAAAGATATCCCTAAATTACCACTGAACTTGAATATGTGTGGTGGGCCTCCCGCTCCCTTGGTTATAAGCAGTCTTTCAGCCACCGCTCATCATTTATCAAACATCCTGGCACATGTAACTGCTGCCCCATTTAACATGGAGTGGAAAATGAATTGTTTCTGTTGTTTTTCAGATAGGACAGAAACATTTAAATAATAAATAAGACAGGACAATAGTCTTAAAATTCTTTTATGGTCATCAGGGGCATCACTACAGATTTATGGGCAGGATCTGCGGGCATGCCCACCCAAGTAAAATAAAATAAGTCCCCCAGAGTGTCTGTTTATCATGATTGTTTAGAGAAGCAATAGGTGACCTTCAAAATATGGCTATTCATTGTTAGTATAAGACACAGATCTAATAATTCAAATGCTGTCCTTCAACTTTCAGCAGACACAGATCAACCAAAGGTACTGAAGTCCAGCAGTGCTCTCTCTCCTCTCTCGTAAAACAAATTAGAGCTCCTAAAATTTCATTCACATATACAGACTATGAACTCGCACCTGATCAGACCTGTTCCTTCAGCCCTGTCAGTCTCTGCCATCTTCTTACTTATCCTGTCCTTTCCTGCTTCTGGTAACACACCATATTTTATTCATCTGGATTTACAAGAACTTGAGGGTTAGACCAGTCAGTTCACATTTTTTGTTTGAAATTAAAAAATCGTATTGTCAAAAAAGGTTAAATTTAGCTCTTTGGCCCGTTCACGCTCTCACTATCTGTGGAGTTTACTAAAATAGCTGGCTCATCAAGTTAACATAAAGTTAGGCAAGCAGTTAAGAACAGGCTAAAAACTTGCTATACTGGCTATAATTTAATATTAAAAAATAATAATTTTTTAATCAGGCTCAACTGCAGGGTCTACCAAAGCACGACGAAGGTAGTTGGTTGAAGGAACCCTGACCCTAGCACAGCAGGAGATGTGAGTTTTAAGTTGTTATGTCAACACTGGTATACTGTCTTAGAGATTCAGCACTGTGATGCAGCTTTGTACTGCTTTGGCATATACAGTGAGAAGGAACAGCTAATCAGACACACTTGTTGTTACTTAATAGACTTCCAGTGCATGTATCCACCTAATATTCACACAGATAACGTCTTTTTACCCTGTACTTAGAAATATGAGCAAAAAGTATGTATTCGTAAATATAATCAAATAGGAGAAAAAAGTATTCAGACACCACAAATCAGTTGTTAGTATTGTAGCTATTTGTTGCAAACCCGCTGTAGACAATAACAGCTTTAAGAAGTCTATGGTAAAAAGTATATGTATAGTTCACATTTATAGTACAAAGTCAAAAGATATTATAATGTAAAGTTGTTGTGGATATGTGCACTGAAAGTGTATTGATAAACAAACACAAAAGTGTCAGAAACCTTGTTTTGCTTGTCCTGTCCTGGTTACCCACAATGGCCCATATTTATCAAAGTTCTCAGAGTATGAATACTGATCTGGAATCATTTTGTGCCTTTTACAGTTCTCTCTATAGGCTAAATTGACTGAGTCTTGAATTTAGATGAGTACTTTTACTAATTTTACTCTTACATGCTTGATAAATATGGGTGAATTTCTCTGGTTGTCTTTTTGTAGGGAAATTTCTTTCAGTGTGAAGCACCATTTTAAAAGCATATGAAAATGTGATTATTTCAGATGGTCAAAGTAGCATTCAGTGCCAGGTGGTGGCTGGATATTTCAGGAGTAGTACAAAACTAGTGGTCTTTCTGATTGCACTAAAAGAATGATGGTGAACATACATGTGGCAGATATGGTGGAAAGCCATAGGTGAGTAAACAGTGAATAATCACATTTATTGGAAGTATTGTATTTTTCTGTATATTTAATTCTGACCATGTTTCTTAATAGTACTTGTGTGGTTTTAATGAAGGAGGATCCAATCTTTAAATGTCCTCATTTTATATGCCCTTGGAATAGTAACACTTTTCCCCTTGCTAGAAAGATTCAGATTTTAAGAATAGTTGCATAAGTACTGATGAATACATGCAAATATTTTGCTGTTCATCTCAGCAAGCGAGATAAAGAGCAAAATATCCAATTATAAAGATGACCCAAAGACTCATCATGAGAGACCTGTTTGAGGGGAGCAGTTATCTGGTGAAATATACATAAGGATGATGTGCCTGATGAACCACTCAGCTGACACTCACTGTTTAAGGACAAAATGAAAGCAGCGTTCGAACACAGGTAAAATTGGTTCATGATCCACGTCTTCAATCATCCTAGACCTCTTCCCCCAGTTTCTTGAACACCAGAAACGTGTTGAATGTGTGCTGTTTCTTGAAAGTAAATGTTGTGTTATGCATTTTTAATACAATCAGATGGCAAAGTGACCTGGCTATCTATCCTCTTTCTTCTTCATCCCAACCCCAAAAGGCAAGAACATGAGAAAGATAAGCTCATCTGAAGCTGAGGACTGCCTGATGAAGTTCATGAGGGTATGTTGTATAATAAAACTGTTCTGTTAGTGTTAGTGTTGCTCAATGTATTGAAAGTTCAATACTTTTTTCCATACTACAGTGTTGGAAACAATTATTATTTCAGTACTACTTATTTCAGAACATAGTGAATGTTTAAATGTAGTCATTTGATTTAACATTTGATATTTTTTCATTTTTATTTAGACAGACTACCTTTGAAAATCAGATGTTAACTAAATTTTTTGCATTCAAGCAAAGAAGTACCAGCTGTCCAGACATGTGCTGTAATTTTCCCCACAGTGTCTTTTTGGTCTTGAGTATCTAAGTTTTTCTAATTATAATTTTCATAATGGTATCATAACCCTAGTGTGCTTCTTCAACATTGCTTACTATTCCACAAATTAAAGTTTATTCTCTCTTTTCTGACTTTTAGTCTGTCTGCTTTGTCTGTTTATTTATGCCGTTGTATTTCAAATAAGAGTGAGCATGGTAGTCTTCCTTATGAAAAGTGGATCAGCACAGCCCTTTCTTTTTTGTTTTGGGGAAAAGAAAGTTAAGATGGTATGTTAAAATGAAAACTGAAAACAGTGATTTGTAAATTATTTTTGACCTGTCTTTCAAATAATAAATTACTACATTATTTGATGTTATACCTTTTTTTTCAAAATAAACACTTACTTCAATTTTGATTTTTGCAACATATTTAAAAATAAAATTTGAACAGTAAAGCTGGCTTTTCACTGGGAGAATTTATTTTAAAATGTTTTAATTTGGTCCCATTAAAAATGTTTTAATTAGCAATCTAGAGGGTATTGAAATGTTAAGTGATGTACTTAATGTATTTAGTTTTCTCCACTACTTGTTGGGTGGGGGAAAAAGCAGAATATCACACTGTAATGATTGTCTGTACTGATGTCAAAAGGAGATGTTCATCTTTAAAAACATTGTCAATGTAACTGTGAAAAGTGAGTACATTTTCCTTTAAACAAACGTCAGTGCAGGGTTTTCATGACCACATGAATGCCTTCTGCATTCAGGACACAGCAGATGGATTTACAGTGATTTGTGTTGATTTGAAAGAGAGATTTCATGGATGACGAAATGTATATGGTGCCTTGCTGCAACTTTGTGATGTGAAATGCCACGAGCTCAGCACAGCAGTACAGTTCATGAAAAAGGCAATATTTGTTATTGTGGTTTACTACAGTATCAAGTTTTAAATTAAATCTTCTCAATTGATATTGAGTTACTGTGTTTTTGTATAAAATCCAAAAATGAAATGAGTTACTCCAGTGGAGTTATTTTTGCATGTACTCGCAAAAGTTTTGAAATATTAGAGTTATAATTTTAGCAAATGACAACAGCGCCTCCCGCAGGTTCTAGTGCCCTGTAAACGCTGTAAAATTTGGGCTAAAATCCCCTAAACCTGGCCTGGCGACGCCCCTGACGGTCTTTTTTCTGATTTGATTCGTTTCCGTTAAAATAGACCTAAACAGACAAAATGTTTCATAACACTGAGTCTGTAAAATTCTCTTTTAGCTTTTTAGAATCAAAGTCTGTACTGCTCCTGTTATTAGTATTATTCTACATAAAAAGTGTTTATTTTTTTGCAAAAGAATTAAAATTCCTGCTAAACTATTTATTGTGTTAAGTTTTATGATACAATCGTGGGAGAGCCAATAATTTAAAACAGGTGTGCTAGTTTTCTATATCAGCTGCTCTATTTTGCTGGGCCCACCATGGCAGACAGCAGCGTAAGGTATGGTGATACACGGCGCGAGCACCTCACACCCACACTAGTCTCTCGCGTAACAGCACGACCTAGAGTGAGTTACTGTCATTATACAACAGTTTTATCACGGATAGGCCTATTTATTATTAGATTAACAGACAAATAGTGACGAAAATTGATGGACATGAAAGCATATTTACTATTATTTGGTAAATAATTAAATTACCTAATTACACATCTATTTCTGTGCACCAATGAATTACATTTGTTGTCAAAAACTGTAATATTGAATAAAATGGAACTTATTAAGGATTCTAGGAGGTTGTGACAACGTATAGACAACGTAGTACTGATTACTTTTGCTGTCTCCCCACGTTGTCACAACCTCCTAGGAAGTTATCAGACAACGTTGTCACAACTTTCTGAGGAATTACATTTCAACGTTGTGACAACGTAGAGAGCACCAAGCAGACAACGTTGTGGGCACCAAAACAAAATGTTGTCACAACATAACTGTGTTTGCAGGGCAGACAGAAGACGGATGAAAATCCAAGACAGCCTTCGTGGCTGTTGTCTGCTTGGCTCTGTACATGGCCATCGCCAAAATTTTCTTTCGGTGGCTGACATTTCTTTGTTTCTGATCCAAATGTTTTGTTTCACGCTGGCTTTCGAACTGTACAAACTCCGCCCCGCTCCAGCCATGTGAATGCCTTCTAGACGGACAAGATCTGCATGCGTATGTGTCTACCGCTCCGTGCTTGCGTTGTCTAGTGTGTAGGCACCCTTAAGCTTCGTCCTTACTGTGTTTTGGGGGGTGGGTATTTTATTTTTATATGTATTAAGATTATAAGTGGTTCACACATTGATGGATTTGCTGATTATGTTTCTACTCGAGCTCGCGCTACACTCGGTTTTTAACGTCAGGTGCAGACTTTTCTGCTGGCCCGGACGGCTAATTAGCACCCCAGACAGCCAACGACTCTGGGCCGGAGTTGGCTGTAAGTCGTTCTCACTCAGCTCACACTTGCAGTCAGTAAGCGGCGCTGACCCAGAGCGGGCCGGTGTTGGCGTTTATACCGTTCTGTTTCATGCTGTCTAACCACCATGATGTCAGAGTCGTTGTGCGGCTCACAGTCGGCAAACGGCGCGTTGCGGAGGTACAGAAGAATCTTCAAATGTCTTTTATTCACTGTGAATACAGCCATATAATAGAACAGCCGGAGCTATAGTATCGAGAATGTTATCTATTTTGAGAGCTTGGACAGTGAAATTTGTTCTACCACGACTCCTCTTTAAGCGTGGGACGTCCCAGCTCTTCTGCGAACTGGTTCACTGACTAAGGTCTGTTTTACAGGTTCACTGTCTTACATTGCTTTCAGTTTTGATAAATCCTTGGAAATAAGCTTACATGAGTGTGAACTTAGCACTACACAGAAAAAAACTGCACTTGTAGCATCAAAGAAAACAGGAATGTATCATAAACTCTGATTAACCTTCCTAATCATCCTTGGTTTATTATCTGTAGTCATATGTCAAATGTCATATCCATAAATGTAAATAACTAAAAACTAAACCAAATCTTATATACTTGAAAATAAAAAACAGGTCATGATATACATGCGCTTCCAGGACTGAAATACGCTAAATCTAATAAGTAAATTATCAGTTGTAGACTACTGAAACAACTGGGTTCAGTTCTCTGACTTTTAAGCATTTTTTTCTTAGCGTACCTTGGTGGCTTTGTACAAATTATTAGAGAAAAATGCACAGGCAAAACCATAAATACATTACCAAATAGAAAAGCTTTGAAATATGTATATAACATTAATGTATAAGAGACGTCTGCATGACAAGTAATGTTTGAATAGCAGGCAGGTCACCAACAGCCACACATTCCTACATGACGGTAGGCACTATTGTACTTGTACCCAACTAACCAGCCCAGGTCGAAAAAGCAAAAACAACACAATGACACATCTCCAGGCTATCAGTCCCAACCATAGATATGCATACCTAGATGAGAGGTCAAGATCCGCTTGTGAACAAATTCACCTGTATTGAGAGGTGATGAGTTCTCAGGAATAAATCGGCCACAACTTCCTTATTACTCAACCGATTTTCACCAAATTTGTTTTGTTATAATCCTTAGACAAAGATTAATCTAGGTTGCACGGACTGCTCTCGGTAGCTTTTATTTCTTTAATAACTGATCGTGCTAATTAGCCATCCGAACCAGCAGAAAAGTATTCAGTCTGAACCTGACACGAGTTTAGTGAGAGCTAAGGTAAAAACACAATCAGCAAATCCATCAATGTGTGAATCACTTCTAAGTTAAAGTTGTCTTCCTATTCGCCAGTGCTCCCGTTCCACTTTAAATGGTGCAGGAGTCACTTTCTGGTGCCTGAAGCTGCACCATTTAAGGTGGAACGAGAAAATTCGAACAAGAAGCTGGCTGATGCACCATTTAAGGTGGAACGGGCAAATTCGAAAAAGAAGCTGGCAAATAAGATGCTAACTCTGCTATGAATATCTACACGGATTATATATATATAATGCTTGCTATAACTACAAGCATTAACCATCATAGTAAATAAATAAATACTACATCAAGTTAAAATCCCCTGAATAGACCATTAAATGAAATAAGCTTAATATAAAACCAGAGAAAAAATAATCACATCAACAGGTTCTCTGTGCATCACCATCCACACGGCCATATCTACACATAAACATCACACAAACAATACGCATCACACAAACATGAGCATTCCCTCCGTTATATAATCCTATCTCACTTTCTGAGAGCAATATTCTTGAAATAGTATAATTTTGAACAGTATATTTCTTCAACTGCTGCTCTGTAATGGCTCTGAATGCAGCAGCGATGTTGACCGCCCTAAAATGGCGGCGCCGTTGACGTGTCTGGCTGGACCCAACGAGGCATCTTATGTATATCTATGGTCCCAACTATTCAAATAGTTTCAGACGCTCTCAATTAATAGACCACTGCAGTCGTGTGTCATTCTGTAGTCCTCGTTGTGTCCATTTTAGGAACTCCGGGTCTAAGCTCCATTCCTCTATGGCCAGAATGAATAGCGTTTTCGAAAAATCGCCTCTATCGCACCCTGTGTTAAATAAAAATGTCCAGAACCCGATATGTTTTGTCCTGGGTACATGTTTCTCTCAAATGCCAGTGAATCTTCCGAATTACGATGTCGTTAAAGAGCTATAATACTAATATTGCTACATGTAAGCTAATGCTACTGCGCACTGAATTCACGTCATTAGACTGGCAGCCTCCTTAAGCAGGTCTTGGCAGTAAACATTTCCATGTATAGACTGAGGGCAGATTATAAGAAGTCAGAACAAAATCAGCAGGTTTTGAAGGATTTGAAAAGATCTACAAACGTACCTGCACTCAGGCTAATCCAGTACAGACTCAGCTTAATATCACTGCTCACCCCTGATAAACGGATTTAGGCGATCAGAATATCCTAATTTTTATTTTAATGCTGGTAACATTTCTGAGAACATTTTCTCAGGACATTCGCCAGCTTTTTGTTCGAAGCCGAACAAGCAGCCAGAGAAAAAGAAGCTGACTTCAGCTTCATGGAGGGTTGAAAGGAATGATATGGGGAGGTTTCACTATTTATACTTAACAGCTGAGTAACATTAACTTACTTTTGCTGTTTCACCGAACTAACAGATCAGTATTTTGTCTTGTTTGCTAATATTTGTGACAGCTAGTCTCAGCTGCTGCAGCATTTAAGGTGGAACGGGAACATTCAACTGGAGGGTAAACTAGTATATGGAACAGTAATAGCAGTTTATGGAAGAATGGAGGTATAGGAAAGGAACAAATGAAAGGAGAAAGTACATAACAATTATGGATGGGTAAACAAGGAGCAATGATTTGATTTAAAAAATCCCTAAACCAGAATTTGACAGTTGGTGTAGTTGGTATTATTTACTGTGTGATGTTGGTTACTTCTCAGCAAAACAGCTCTCATTAAATCTTTTATCCTAGTTATGGCCCTGCTGCACAGGCTCAGCAGACTGTACATAATGCTGGCATTAATTTTAGTATAGATAGCTGCAGTTTTGGGGTAATTGCTAAAAACGGAATTCGTTATAAGTTACCAATTACGTTTCTCAAACTGCAGTGGGATTATTTTACTTAATGTTTTTTAAAAGTACTTCCTCTAGTCAGTACTTTACTGCTGTATTACTCTGCACGAAATTGTCTCACTGTGTTAGCAGACCATTTTGATTGTTTCCAGCATTATTTCGTAGAACAAGCAACATTTCTAGAAATATGTTAAATAATCTTATAATATTCTTACAACAATCTAACAATGAGAAATATTGGATGTATCAACATATTTTTTGCAGTGTATCGGTTGTATCTAATTTAAAAATGTGTATCCAGGGGCCCAATTCCTGTCTTGTAGTCACATATTCAGGAGAGAATAATGCCGGGAACAGAATACACAATATTTTTGTCTTTCACGATGGTCACTATCTCAGATTAGGCAATTAGGCTAGTGTTAACATATCAAGAACATTAAATGGACTCTGTCGTAGTACTCCCTCAAGGAAACTTCAGAAAGGCAGAGGTCGCAGCTCAACAAACATTTCCTCTGTTTCGTTGTTCCGCCGTGTTTACATCTGTGCCAGACAACACTTTGGGTGTGTCCCAAAACCTAGTGAGCTCTCTAAGTAGCCGCTGTCTACATAGACAGCTGTCTAAGTAGGCAGCGTTCCAACCGTCATCTACCCTTATAAGACAGATAAATGAGACGCTCTAGTTAGGCAGCTATGACGTCGCCGCTGGTTCCCGCCCACTGCACGCGACCGGTGTTTACTTACCTCAGCTGTCAAAATCGCCTCCGCGTTTTACCACAATGGATCCTGCTCAAGCGGTTTTTACTGCGATTTTAATCGTGTTTGCTCTCGAGGAACAGCGGAATAGACAGGAGTTTCGACGCGCTGTGGTCAGACAACGAAATTTAAGAAGACGAGCGCTACTTGCTGCTCTTGAACAGGTAAGATTTACAAAGTTTCTCTGAGGTTAACTTTCCTCTAAACACTCTGAGGGGGTCTCCACACCTTACAAGGTTCATTATACAGCTATCTGCCAGTAAAAATATTATTATTATTATTATTATTATTATTATTATTATTATTATTATTATACCATTCTATTTGTTTTGAATATTTAGATAGTACACATTATTAATGCATACATCAAATTAAAAACTACATACACCACATATAACCTGCATTAACCGAACAAAACATATACATAACTATACTATTTAATAAATATACATGTAAATACAGATTCACTAGCAATCAATTTATGCAACTCTGTACAGTAATTCATCATTGCACTAATAATACTGAAGTAATTCATTAATTTAAAATAAACTTACATATTCATAGGTTCAGTATACCTCCCCGTTTCTGCACTCCTTATCCATTTTATCACCTCCACTTACCATATATTAATGACAACAACAGACATTCTACTGAGCATTTTAAAGACACATACAGACATTTTTTCATATGTTTTTCTTGTAGGGAGAAAGACCAAATAAATACTGTACGCTGAATGTCGGTGTACCTCTACTGCAGGTCTACTTTGACGAGACACAAGACACCAGGCCTGACTTCCTGTAATTCCCCCGGGTGGCCAATGAAATGAGGCAAATTCTCCCAAAAGTGGTTCAGCATCCAAAAAATGAAGAATTACAGAGGATCTCACAAGGTTTTGCGAGGCTGGGAAATCATGCAGCTTTCCGATGTGTAGTCGGCACTATAGATGGCAGCCATGTACGAATTAAAGCACCAGGACAACCTGATGCACAGTGCTATCGAAACCAGCTTTACCCATCTGTGCAAATGCAGGCCGTATGGGATCATCAGGCAAAGTTTCTGGATGTTTTTATAGGCTTCCCTGGATCTGTGCATGATGCAAGGGTCCTTCGACACAGTACTCTCTACCAGCAGGCAGCATTCCCACCCAGAGGCTTCATGATCCTTGGTGATGCATCATCCCTGCATTGCACATCCCATTGCCCTCATCACCCCTTTTAAAAAGCCTGTAAGAGGGGAAGAGCAGGTAACCTTCAACAGGCATCATGCAAAAGCACGTTCAATTACAGAACATGCTTTTGCATGATGCCTGTTGAAGGTTACCTGCTCTTTCCTTTGGGATGCTGAAGACCAGGTGGAGGTCCATCTTCCTGCATGCCCTCGAAGTACACCCGCAGTTTGTACCACAACTGATTGTATCCTGTGTCACCCTGCACAACATCTGCATGGGAGCAGGAGACCTTGTTCAGCCTGAGGAGGAAGCAGATGGAGAGGAGAAAGAGGATGGGCAGGAGGAAGATGTCACAGATGCAGTCAGTGGTCATCGTCTACGGGAGCAGCTTTGCGCTGCCATTGCTGACATGCACTGATGGTCCTCTTTCAAATGTTATATCGGCACTGAGAAAAATATCTTTGAAAGTGACATCTTAAATCTAGTCTAAATGTATAATTCTAGTCTTGATTGTTGTTAGAAGGTAAATAATGTTCTATACATTTTTACTTGTTAGGCAGTTTATGTGTAGTCGAAGTGTTAATTTTTTAGCACTATGCTAAAATCTCTTAAAACGTAAAAATGTGTACAGAAGTGTTTTTCAATCTCAAAATAAGAAAGCTTTAGGATAATTCTGTTATTAATTCATTATAGTTTCTTATTTATTTATTCTTATTTAAGATTAAAATATTGTTTTGTTATTGTGATTACACTGTAAAAACAGTTCCAAGTGATTTTACAACAAGAATGTCCTTCATTAAAGGAAAACGTCAAGATATTATAAAATAAAGAACTGACCATAATGATTGAACAGTCTACAAGTTTAAATTTGTGAAAGGTATAGCATGAAGCATTCTTAAGGATACACTGGGTTTCTAGTGGGGTCATCAATGAAGAATAACTTAATTCATCCAAAGAGAAAGCCTGTTATGATTAGTTTACCGCATTTCAAGATTAAAATTAAAACATGTCTAAAAAAAAATCAAAATCCAGAATTATTCCATAAAATAAGCTTTATTTTTAAAATGCATTAGTTAATCTTGCTAATAAGTTTCTCAAGAAGGCCGCTCCTGCTCCGCTCGCTCTCTCCTCTTTCCCTCTCCCTCTCCATGTCCTCTCGCAAGAGGTCGATTAGGGTTCCTTGCCTCTTCCTTGGTCTTTCCTCAGACAACGGGGAGCCACAGCAGAAGATGGCCCTGGTTCCGCCTCATCTGACGAGGCTATTAGCAGAGGCGGTGAAATCGAGGGCCGGTTACCAAGAGCCCCGTCCATGAGGCTGAACCAGGGCCAAGTGGCTGCAGTGGCTTCCCCGTTGTCTGTCCCACTTCCAGACGGTGGACACTTCAGCTCCTAAAATAAATGCAAACCTGTAATCTAACCTCACTTTGCTATCTTTTGCCTGGCTGAATTATACTTAAGAATACTTTAATAGTTGAATTAGGTTTGAAATAGATAAATCCTTAGTCTTTCAAATAATGTACTGCAACTCTGTCTTAGAACTTACCTTGTATTTCTTCTTTAAATTGTCCCATTTTTTTCAGGCTTGTTGAGGAGTCACTTTATGTTGTAGCCCCAGTTCCACAAGGATCGTCCTATCAACAAGCAAACAAAATCAAATTAGGACTTTTATTTTTTGAGACTAGGTAAGTAAATTAAACGATTCAAAATTTTCCAACTAAAATTTTAACCAGTTTAGGAAGATGCATTACCACACAAGCAAATCACTTACTTTTACATACAGTTAAGTTAAAAACATGCAGGCCCAACTCATTCATGGTTTATTTAGGTTTTCATGGTTTATTTGTTTGCCCTGATTAAGGGGAATCAGGTGAGCTCCTACACGTTTGCAATGAAAACCTGCAGTTAGTTAACCTACAGCCGCCCTTTGTGGATAAGATTGGACACCCCTGATCTAACTGGTGAACCAACACCCTAACTTTCTTACTTCCAAGCTGACAACGCAGAGTTTTTCTCCCCTGTGAACAGCCTCTCTTTCTCTATACGAGCTTTAATAAAAGCTTCAAGCGCTGATCTGGTCCCTGAAAAAGTGGAAACAACTCGTGTATGCGAACACGGACAACTAAATAGCTGGTTAGCACCATATAACCCCCATAATTCTATCAAATTATTCAAGACACACAAACGGATCAACGATTAGATAGCGCTAACTCTTCATTAACGTTTGACAAAACAGCCTGCTAAGTTGTTAGCCAGCGTGGTTATTAGCCAGCTGGCTACAGAAAACAATAGCCTGATGCTTCAAAATCCGTTAGCATGCATGCTAGCGGATTTTTTGGTGTTCCGAAAACTGGAAAATGATCAATGACGGACATAAATAGTAAAAATTATTTTATACAGATTTATGACAAGAAAACAAATAAAACACCACAGAAAATCAGAATAACTTACATTTAAAGATGACTTCGCTGCTTGCCGCATCGACTCCGTCCGCCATCTTCCAACTTTCAGGTGCGCCGCGTTGCATCACGGGATTGCCTTAGCGGCTGAGGAAGCATCCGATGCTCTCTCGATATTCGGCCAAAATGAGATACCTTAGTAGGCAGCATATTTGAGATATCTAAGAATTGGGACAGCCTACTTGTCGGGAGCGCGCATATTGTGACGTAAAATGCTGTCTATGTAGAGAGCTCACTAGGTTTTGAGACACACCTTCTGTCTTCCTATTGGTTAATGTCAAGGAATGTATTGTAGGCAATGTCTAATTAAGCAGAAAAATAAAAAAAAAAACATGCTAGACTTTTCATCGCGGTGTTGTGGGGAATTCCAGATGCCACATCGCTGTTCTTTGATTATGTCACACTGCAAGAGCTTCATCGTTCCCGGCGCTTATTTTTGGGCCTGAAGCTGGAAATTTGTTGACTGCAACAAAATCAGTCATAGTCTAGCTAAATTCTTGTAGTCTGATCGCAGCTGAAGTATATTTTAAAAAGAAACCTTTGATAGAAGAAGGTAAAAACACTCTTTCAATAAGTTGAGGTGGTAGTATCTAGGAGTTCCCTGTGTGCTCTGTTTGTGCAGGGGCTAGGAATGTGAATTGGGGGGCCCTTGGTCTCTTAGGTTCAAATAGATGAGGTCATGTTAAAAAGAACCATATGCTCTGTCTCCTGTTTCAACAACAAGAACCATATATATATGCTGTTGGTCAGTCTGTTCGGGAGGGGACATTTAGAATTGGCACAGATCCTCTCTCAGGTACTCTATAGTGCTTGATATGATACTGTTTTACTATGTAATAAATCTTTTACTGGCAACTCAGTATCGGCGGAGTTTTTCTTCACAACATCTAAACACCATCGCCACTAAATAAACAACAAGAATTTGGCGTCACGAACTTCGGAGGTGTTGTGGCTGGCTGCGTCGCCGACAGCCTCAGTGCGCTGACTCCCGCTCCAGGCCGGCTATTCAGGTGAGCGCTGGGTTTTTTCGTTGAGGCTGTTGGATGTTTGCTGTCTAGCTGCACCGTAAGGACTGTGTGTGGGGGCGATGCTGTGTTGATGTTTGGAGTGCTTCTCCGTTCTAAATTGGGGTTTATTGCGTTGTGCACGCCGCAATAAAAGGGGGGAGTATAATAGTGAAAAGGAAAGCTGATGCAAAAGTGTAGAATAGCCTAATTAGTAACGATAAAGTGAGCTAATTAACACCATGCAAGATTAATGAAGGTTGGGCCCTTATCTTCTTAACGGTAAGACATGTGTATATCGGTCACTGTGTGAAAGTTGGCTTAGAGAAATAGTCGGATCAGGTGAGAAAATAAAAAGGGGGAACGAGAAGTGAAAAGTAAAAGCCCAGGGCCCTGGGGAATTAGATTAAGGGGAAAATAGTTTACTGGGAAAAAAAGAAGTTAAAGAAAATAGAAAAGAGATGTGAAGAGTTAAAAAGAATAGAAAGGATAAGAGTTAAAGAGAATAAAAGAAGTTAAAGGGCATAGAGATGATATGAGTGAAAAGAGAAATAAGAAAAGGGAAGAGAATAGAGATGATAAGAGTTAAAAGTGAAAAGGAGCCGCAGATTTGGACCAAAGCCCTCTGGGAGGCGGTTTTAGACGGGCCTAAAATCCTGGAAAATCACTAGGTGAATTTCTGGGTCAGTTCTAAGGAACTGGAGGTGTGGAAGGGAAAATTCAATTATAAAGTTCCCACTCGAACACTAGTTGACGAACAGTGTCTGAAGCAGCTTTTTATTGAATATTCACACCTCATAAAGGTAGCATAAATTTAGAAGAAAAAGAGAAAAAGGAGCGGCAGGAAAAAGCATGCTATAGGATAAATGTTTTGTTCTGTGTCTTCTGTGTCTGTGAGAGCGCTGTGTGTGCTTCTGTGTGAGGGGGATTGGCCCCCCCCTTACTGGGCGTGTGCGGAGCTGGCTTCTCCGTATGCGTAAATGTATGTGTGTGTGTGTGTGGTGCTTGACTTGGAGGTGCTCCAGCTGTGTGACTGGCTTTAAGAATGTATAAATGATCAAATATGAACCTCTATGAGAGGGCATTTCTCTGATATCGTTAATATCATGAGCTTTCCTGGGGGACATTGTTAGATTTAAGATTTAAGATAAAGTTAAGATTTATGAGCCTCATAAAGAATAAGAGGACTTTTATAAATTAGTATACATGAGCCTCATTCAGGGGACTTGATAATAATAAGCTTCAAGAAGGACGTTTATAATTTTGGAGATGAGTGGAGAGACCAGTGAGGATGTTTGTGTGTGTGAGTGAAGAACATTGAATGAGTATGTAAGGTGTTGGAGTGAAATAAACTGAAATGTCTTTTTTGATGATAATTTGGTGTTTAAAGGAGGAAAACATTTGTTATAGATAAAAAATGATATAAGAGTGGGCAGATAAGGGGCGTAAATCATATTGGATAGTTTTTGTGTGGTCCATAATACCTAGTGGGTTCATTTGATACTTGATTCTGATCTGTTTTTTCCTTTGTCCGCCTATGGTGTGTGAGGATTGGAGGGGACAGAGCTCCAGTGCTGACACGGATTGACCGCATACCCATCTGGCTCCAATCTGATTAAGGCCAGTGTGTTTTATCCACAAAACTCTTTTTGACAAATACCTGCAGTTTAAATATATGTATGTATGCTTATTTATAGTCATTATTGTTGATATATATACAATCTGCTTCATTTATAGGCTATTATAAGAATATTTCTCTATTTGGGGGTTAAAGAGTATAACTATGTGTTTATATGATACTAGGGGCTGTAGTTTAAGGGAAAAAGAGAGGTTTGGCAACAGACTGACTGTTCAATGCATTTAATTAATTAAGGCAACATACTTATTTGGTTTAAACTCTGTTAAGAATGGCAAATATGAGTTTTATTGTTTGTGCATGGTTTATTCTGATTTGAGCGGCACGGGGGATTCAATGTTGAGACTATTGGATGCTTTAAGGTGCAGGGGTTTGAACATTGGGTGATAAATAGGTGATTGTCTTGCTGCAAATAGGAACACATCGGGTGATAGCTGGTCCCTTGTGGGTGTGTGATTACTTTGAGCTTTGTATAGGATTAGATTTTTATTTGTTGGATATTTGAGGAAATTTTATTTGCAATTAGGCAGATTATTTGTGTGTTTGGTCCATATTATAGGTGGATTTATTGAAGTGAATTGCTAATTACATTAATGTTTCCGATTTCTTTGGAGTTGGCAAATTTCTTTCATTTTTACTGATGTGGTAAATTAGTGGTTTGAAAACAGAGAGAAAGGGAGAAGTAATTTTAATTTTAGTAAATAGTCTTAATTCACAATAAGGGAACATAAGGGAGTAGTTACAATGTCGACAAAGGACATTAAAATTACAAAAGTAATAACGCCTGTTGATGTAGTGCAGAAGAATAATCCTTTAGTTAAAGGCATTGCAAAGATATCGGAGAAATGGCATAAGCGTTGGTCTGAAATTGACCAACCATGGCCAGTGGAGGGGACCCTTAACCCAGATGTAATTAAAACAATGCAGGTGCTTGTGTCCACATATAAGGCAAATCAAAAGAAGGGTAAAAAGGGGGAAAAACGTAAAGAAAAGAGACAAATAGAGCTTGGTATTCTCCAGTTGTTTGAAAACGAGGGACAGAAAAGGATAAAAGCGGCCAAAGATAAGAGAGATAGAGGTGCAGAAGAAATAGGAGAAAATGTAAAGGAAAGAGAAAAATTAATGGCAGAAATTAAAGCACCTTTCTCACATATGGATCCAGTAAAGAGACCCCCACCTTATGAGAAGGAGGTGAAGTTTAAGGAAATCTATCCCCAGCTCCCATTGATCAGCCAGGAAGGTGAATATCACATCAGAGATGAGGATGACCGGATAATTGAAACAGGTCAAGCGGAAACAACTATAAAGATGTATCCAAGTTCCAAAAGTAAGAAGAAAATGACACGGTTGGAAACCAAGGGGGAACTGAGGATCAGGAGGATGGAATCGGGAGATGATGGCGATCAAAGTGACCTGGAAGGGATCATGGGTGGATATGACCCTGCAGTCAGGCGAATATTGATGAGAGCGGAACAGAGGGGAGATAAAACATGGAGGAAAGAGGACTTAGGAGATGATAGTTCTAACGAGAGCGAGGATGGAGACAGTGATGAAGACTCAGAGAGTGAGGGTCTTTTGTCTTCGAAAGGGTTTTTTCCAGCGGCATCTAGTACCAGAATAGGAGAGGATAAAAAGAGAGCTTTAAGAGAGGTTGAGAGAAGTATAGATCAATGCCTTTCGTACTTGGATAAATCCATTAAACCAGAAAGCCGAAAAGCACTGGAGAACCAATTAAAGGAGCTGCAAATTCAGAAGAAAGAGTTGCGGAAAGGAGGCTCCCAAAAAGTGGATGTGAAATATGCACTGCGCACAAGAAAAGGGAAGACACACGAGAAGATGTGTCCAGTGGTCATCCGAGGACAGAGCTTGGAATACAAGCCTTGGCAAAACACAGATATGTCAGATATACTTGAGAAGTTACCTACTCTTCAGGATGGAGCACATCCTTGGATTTCGAAGTTGGAAGAGATCATGGTGGGAACACAGCCTGCAATAGGAGATATTAAGAGACTTTTGGCTAATCTCCTTGGAGTCCCAGCCATGGAAGAGATTCTACAGAAAGCAGGACTTAATCGATATGTGGGGACTGCTGTGAATGATCCGGAGCTGTTTTCTGCAATTAGAGGTCGAGTATGGAGAGCGCTGAGAGATACATTTCCGACAAATGTACATCCTGATAATATTCTTATTGAGCCACTGGGACAGGAAGAAAACCCGAGGGCCTATGTGTCAAGAGCCCATCAAGTGTGGAGAAATGTTACAGGAAATGACCCGGATTTGAATCAAATGGAGCAGTCAATTTTGCGAGCCAAAATACAGAAGGGGCTGCCCCTACCAGTGAGGAGTAAACTGGCAGAGGTGGTTGGTCTTGGAAGTATGGCAAAGGGTGTTTATACGGATCACATAGCCCATCAAGTGGAGCTATATAGGAAAAAGGAACATGACCAGAAAGAACAGGACCAAGA